GGCTCATCGGTACAAGTACGATACAGCGAGTCAGGGAACGGAAATTCCTGGGGTAGCGAGGAGATTACCGGCCATTACCGGGGGGTGGGAGACTCATGGATACCTCAGCAATAAGTCGGGCGGGGGAAGGGGGGGAATTACCGGGGGCAGCGAGGCATTCCGGGACCTTACCGGGGCTGTGGGCAGGGATAACGTGCCCATTGTTGCGGGACCGGAGGCTCTCCGTTATCAGCGGTGTGTGTGTTACCGGTGCGGTGCCGGTGCCCCGGCGGTGACCCTGCCCCGCTGTCCCGCAGGGCTGAGCACGGAGAAGGCCGTGGCCTTCACTCGGCGGCTGCGGGCCGAGCCGCAGTTCCTGCTGGCCCAGAACGTGGCCACATGCAACGACCCGCTGGAGGTGTGCCTGCAGCGGCAGGTGGTGCAGGACACGGTGCAGGTGTTCCAGCACGCCGTGCCCAACGAGGGCAAGCCCGTCACCAACCAGAAGAACTCCGGTGAGGGCGCTCGGGGCCGGGGGCGGTGTTTGGGGGATGACTCCTAATGCTGATTGTGCTCCAGAGCCCTTTGTCCGGGCTTCGGGGAAAAGTCGAATTCCTGCAGCATCCCCTTGAGTTAATAACACACGTTAGACTCTCCTTGAGTTAATAACACACGTTAGACTCGCAGCGTTTGCCTCCTTTCCCTCCTGCATGGTGTAACTGGGAGATGTGCTTGCAATGAAAGATTTCAGAACACCCTCAGAGCTCTTTGGTGTTGCCAAAGGCTCGAGGCAGAACTGTGTCATGAATCTCGTGGTAAAAGGAATTGTTGTGCAGCTCCTGAGCACAGGTGTTCCAGTTTAATTCCTGTTCCTTTGATCTCTCAGGGAGATGCTGGATCTTTTCCTGCCTCAACGCAATGCGTCTTCCTTTCATGAAGAAGTACAACATTGAAGAGTTTGAGTTCAGCCAGTCCTATCTCTTTTTCTGGGATAAGGTACAGTCGTGTAGGTCGTTGTAGGATTGCTTATGCAATCAGGTGTTAGTGTTGGGACAGAGCTTCTTTTAGGCTGCATTGTTTTAGCATGTATGAGAAGAAACTTCAAAAGTTCCTTCAAAATGTGTTTTAAATGCAGGTGGTCGAGCACAGTGGGACTTTCAGCTTGAGAAGAAAGTTGTCAAGATGTTGATGTTTCGGAGTAGCAGAAGTCTTTTTTGTCAAGAGTTCTGTATATTTTAGCAGTTACTTGTTGGTAGTTCAGGGGAAACATGACTGTAGCTCTGAGGTTTCAGTTGTGCTCGTGAGCTGTGTGCCTGCTCCTCCCCCTAGGAAAATTAAGCAAATCTAGTGCTAGTTTGGGTCAGGCTTCATTGCATAACTTCTGCTCCCCATTTCCTGTTCCCCTGTCCTCAAGCTCTGTGTGAACTCACTCCTAAATATTTGCTCTAACAAAGAACTTTATAGGGTAGCCCCTGGAATGATGGAGAGGAAAATGAGGATTTCATTGGATGAGCAGAAAGTTGCTTCATGTATTCTGTGCTTGCAAAGAACTGAATACTCAGCAATTAATTAGTGCATAATATATCAGACTTTAAAGGCTTGGGGTTGTTTATCTGTGTGTTTCAGGTGGAGCGTTGTTACTACTTTTTAAATGCCTTTGTGGAAACAGCTCAGAAGAAGGAGCCAGTGGAAGGGAGACTGGTGCAGTTCCTGCTCTCCAACCCCACCAATGATGGTGGACAGTGGGATATGCTGGTCAACATTATTGGTGAGAGAACTGCTCACAGGGAGCCCTTCCTGAAACTGCAGCCTGCTTTGAGAAATGGGGGATGGAATAGAGTAAAAGATTGAGCTTGAGACCTGGGAATTGGCTAAGGAACATGATGCCATTAACCACTGTATTTTTTTTAATCAAAGACTTTTTTTGGGGCCAGATTATAAGTATTGGGCTTAAATCTTGTCTGGCATCACTTTTGCATAGTCCTGTTGATGATAAAAGCTCAGATGATCAACAAATAGATAGCCTTGACTTTCAGTTTAATAAAAGGGTTCAACACCCTTTTCCTGCAGCCATCCACTCAACCTCATTTATTTATAGCCATGCACAGTCTTTAGGGCACATGGTAAGGGAAAAGCCCCTGCTGGACCCAGGTGTGTTTACAAAACAAAACTGCTTGGATTTGCAGCCTGAAGTTGGTGTCAAGATCAGTGAGAAGGAATTGATGTGGAATGTGGCACTGCTGGTCCTACAGAGCTCCAGGAGGAGCCCACGCTGCTGGAGATACTTAATTACAGCAGCACTTGCTCTCATTTGTGTTGTGAAACAATGTGACACCTTTGTAAATCAACAAGGCAATAATACAAATTTAGAATCACAAAAGGAATTTGTTTCTTTGAAGCCTGGAGGTTCCTTTTTTCCTCTTCCCATTGCTATAAATACTTAATCAGGGCAGAGATTTTGGCTGCTGCTGTTACATCCAGAGCCTTGCATGGTGAGATCTGTGAGTGGTGCTCTAATGTAGGAAGCCATGAGCTGCTGCTGGTGTTTGATAAATGTTGGGCAGGAAAGGAGACTGGGAAGTCAGTTTTAACCTTAGATAATTTACATGGAGTGATTCACAGGAGGCCCAGTTCTTTAGAAGGTATTTCAGGAGATTAATTTTAAAGCAATCAAGGTTTTTTGTTGGTTTTTTTTTTTTTTTCCTGGTGAACAGGACTTCTTAAAGCACTAATTAATTCAGAACTTTTAACTGTTGAGTTAAATAATACTGAGTAGTTCAGGGATTCCACTTACTGGGATCCCTGTGGAATGCAGCTCAGAGGTCAAGATTCAGTCACAAATTAAAAAGTAAACGTTGGGTACTTGTAGCCTTTAATCAAGAGCCTTTCTGTTATAATCTCTGCACAAACCCAGACTCTCTTTATCATTCATATAGGTATGAGCAGTAGGAGCATCTACTGTGTGAAAAAGCCAATTGTTAACCTGTAGTTTTATTTCTTTTAGAGAAGTATGGTGTTGTCCCCAAGAAATACTTCCCAGAGTCTCACACCACAGAGGCTACCAGAAGGATGAATGAGATCTTGAATCATAAGGTAAAATTAATTTAGATGATAAAATTTAGGGGAGGGGATGGGAATGAACCTGCTCCAAATGTTCCTAACCACCTTATCCTTACTGGCCAAAGTGTTAAGTGCATTCAGCAACTTAAATTTATTTACAAGCAGCCTAAAGTCTCAGCAAAGTCTGATGTTAATCTTGAAACATGGAGTAGGAAGGTGAGATCATGGGAGAAGTCCATTGTCAGGCTTCAGTACCTTGAAAGTACCTTTTGTGGTTTTAGTAGCAGTTATTCCTAATCCTCAGATTTCCAAAGATTTCCTGACATGTGGCTGCTAAAATCTCTTTCTGCAAAGCCAGCACATGGTGTCTAAGTGTCTCTTTCCCACCCTTTCAGTATCTCATCTCCCTGTGTGCCAGGGTTTCTAGAGATGACTGCCAAATGTGGTGAAAAAGATGGAGGAAAAAAATGTATTTTAAAAACACTGCATGTTCAAAATCAGCTTTCAGTATAGAAGTGCACAGCTTTGTCTGAAGGAAGGTGTTAACTCCCGCCCTGAACTGCAGAAATGAATTAGCCTGGGAAGAGGCTGGTGTAGGTAGCTAGATGAAAAAGGCAATTAAAACATTTTTTCCAGTTCATATGCTGCATGCTCAGGGAAAACTGCCTGCTGAAATCCACATAAAAAATGCAAAATACGTGGTGGAATGAGCTTGGACATTTTAAATGTTGTCAGTGTTGTTCTAATCCTGAGCATGGCAAAGCAGCTGCTCCTGAGGGAACCCCATCACCATTCCTGGCCTTATGGATGGTGACACTAATGGGAAGCTTGTGCTGCTCTGACTGCAGCTGTGCATGCAGTGGGGAAATGCCCCTTTCTTTTCATCAGCCAGGAGATTAATTATGCATTAGAATTGCAAAATAAATGTGACAGGATGAGGAAAGTGTGTTCTGTGAGTCACAGACGTGCTGGTGTGTGTGGATGTTGTGGCATCACTTGTGGGACTGAGGGAAATCAAGCTTTGAGAGCTTAATGGCTGCAAGCCTCACATCAGTGGTTGGAAATGGTGATTGAATTGTGACTATTTGCTAATTTTTTGGTTGTATTTTACTTCAGCAGCATTCAATTATCTTGTTATTTTGTAATGAATTGGTCTCTAATGATGCTTCTGAAAGGTCTTTTCATTCTGAAAACATGTGAAGAGTAAAATAGGTGCTGGAAACAAGCAGAGAGGAAGTCCTGAAAGTGGTCAGGTGACACCTTTCACACCCTTTGTAACAAAGTTACTTTCTCTTTAAACAGATGAGAGAATACTGTTTGAGGCTAAGAAATATGGTGGAAAGTGGAGGAAGCAAAGGAGAACTTTGTGCTGCCATGGACATGATGATAGAAGAGGTAAATAAAGTGGTGTGACATGAAT